AAAAAGTGGTTTTAAGGTTGAGTTTGAAAATGATGTGTGCACCATTTCGAAACAGGGGAAGGAGCTAGTTAAAATTCCCTGTGAGGATGGGCTTTTTGTTTTGGATGAAGAGCAGTTAGCAGCAGGTAGATGTTCAACAGGTGAAGCGCAAGCTAAGTGTGTAAATAAGGCTCCTCATACAGGTTGTGCACATCTACTACACAGAAGGTTAGCTCATATATGCTTTAAGTATGTAAGCAAGATGCCAGATTTAGCTGAGGAGAGTAACATTAAACCCTGTCCAAATTTTCTGGATTGTTGTGCTTGTAAACATGCCAAGGTTAAGACATGTAACTATCCTAGATCTGATAAGAGTAAGCAAGAAACCCTTTGAACTTGTGCACAGACGTGTGTGGCCCTATGCCAGTCAAATCGCTTGGAGGTGCGAGATTTATGCAAATTTTGGTGGATGATTTTTCAAGGGCTAGTTGGGTTTTCTATCTGAAAGAAAAATCACAAGCAGCTTCCATCCTGATGGATTGGATTGAAGAAGTCGAATGTAAATTTGACACCAGGGTACGTAAAATACAATCAGATCGTGGTGGGGAATATGTGAACCACACGCTGGAGACGTGGTTAAAAAGGAAAGGTATAGTTCATAGACTTACCAATCCCTATTCACCACAGGAGAATGCAGTTGCCGAAAGAAAATTTCGAACATTACAGGAAGCCATTGCTGCTTTGCTGTTTGATTCTGGACTTCCACAGCGTTTTTGGGCTGAGGCTGCACTGTATGCGAATTATACTTTTAACAGAGTGTACAATAGCACAGTAGGCAACACTCCTTACTTCATGCTATTTGGGGAAAAACCAAAAATTGATCATCTAAGAGTTTTTGGATGTCGTGCTTATGTGCTGGTGCCTAGGGCACAATGTAGGAAAGGCGATCCTAGATCTAAAGAAATGTTTTTCTGTGGTTATCAAGAAAACACAAAAGGTTGGAGATTTGTGAATGTAGAAGGCAATCAAACGAAAATCACAATCAGCAGAAGTGTGGAATTTTGTGAACAGGATGGTTGGAATAAAATTCATGGAAATCCTGACATACTATTTGATGTGGTGAACAGTAACAATGAAACTCAGGCCCCAGTGCAGGTATTAGTTCCAGAACAGGCTGAGGAATTTGAGTCTGAGGGCAAGGGTGAGAAATCGTCTAGTTCACCCAAGTCTGTAAAGTCAGAATCTTCTAGCTCTAAAAGTTCACCTGTACAGCAAGAGAGACGTGTAAAGTCAGAATCAGAAAGTTCTTCAACTACAAGTGACAAACAGGTGACGACCAGTGATTCTGGGTCAGAGGGGGAAACTGAAGGAACATCGCAGGAACTGTTAAGGCGTTCCAAGCGTACCAACAAAGGTAAACCTCCTGAAAGGTACCAAGCTATTAGTGTTTGGGCTGGTTTGGCAAATTGCGAACCTGAAAGTTTTGAGGAGGTTGAGCAATTACCCCAGGAGGAGGCCAGTAGGTGGCGTGAGGCCATGCAAAAAGAGTTGAATTCTATGAAAGAACTGGGTGTGTTTTCCATCACCAAACTGCCAGAAGGTACCAAGGCAGTAAGTTGTAGGTGGGTGTACAGGATAAAGACAACAGCGATGAGGAAACTAGAGTACAAAGCAAGGCTTGTAGCTCGAGGTTTTACGCAAAGAAAGGGGTTACATTATTCCGAAGTCTATGCACCCACTTCAAGGAGTGAAACCCTACGGGCACTATTAGCAGTTGCTGCTCAGAAAGGGTTCAAAGTGAATCAATTTGATGTCTCTACAGCTTATCTTCATTCAGACTTGGCTGAAGAGCTCTATATGGAGCTACTGCCAGGATTGAAAGTTGGTAAATCAAATCAGGTATGGAAACTACATAAATCTATTTATGGACTCAAGCAATCTGCTCATAATTGGAATGAGTGTTTGAATGACGTTTTGGTAGGCATTGGTTTTAGCAGGAGCAAGGCTGACAATTGCTTATATTTCAGAGGTTCAGGAGATGCTCAAGAATCTTGGCTTGTTTATGTAGATGACCTAATTTATACTTCAAAGACACAAGAACAAGTAAAAAAACTAGCCAAAGAGTTAAATAAACACTTCAAAGTTAAGAATCTTGGTTATGTGAAGGTCTATCTTGGTGTTCAGATAGATAGGACCAAAAATGGCAGTTTTCTACTGAATCAAAAAGGCAAGATATTGCAAATGTTGAAAAAGTTTGGCATGACAAAGTGTGCAGGTGTTAGAACACCAATGGAAATGGGTTTTGTAAAAGACAATGAGTTCAAGGATAGTGCTGAATTCAAGCGTGCTGAAATCTTTCAGTCAGCACTGGGAAGCTTACTTCATCTTTCGCAATGGAGTAGACCAGATATTGCTTACACTGTTAACTTACTCAGCAGAGAAGCTTCAAAACCTAGTGTAAATGCATGGAAAGGAATTCAAAGAGTGTTAAGATATTTACAATACACCAAAGATTTTTGCCTTGAATTATCTTCGGAAGGACAAGCACAGATTACTTGTTGCGCAGATAGTGATTGGGCAAATTTAAAAGATAGAAAATCAGTGTCTGGCTGTGTAATAAAATTTGGTAACTCTCTGATTGGGTGGAGATCCAAGAAACAGAACCTGATTGCTTTCTCGTCAACAGACGCTGAATTCTGTGCCTTATCTGAGTTATGTAGAGATCTAGAATTTTACAAATGCTTGGCACAAGAGATGTATGAAAAGGCCATCACTCCAATCACTGTATGGGGTGATAATCAACCGTGTCTTAAGTTAGCACAAAATGGGCAGTTTAAAGGTCGTACCAAACATTTGGATATCTGCTTTCAAAATGTTTATCAAACGGTAAAAGCAGGAATTGTTAAATTAAATTACTGTCCCAGTCATGAAAATCAAGCTGATGGTTTTACAAAACCGCTTGGGTTTCAGCGGCATGAAAACTTTTGTGAAGAAATGGGTCTGAAGTAATTTTGTTTTTGTATTGCCAGCGAGAGGGGGTGTTAGGGTTTGAAACCTAAGACGCTGGCAAGTTAGCAATGTCATGTGACTTTAAGTAGTCAAGCTCGTTAAGTTGTTAAGTTGCTCAGTATATAAAGAGTGTTTGTTTTCTCTGGGGGGGCGTGAAGCAAAAATGTCTGAAAGCTCCGGAGGTGTTTCTGTTATCTTTCTGCAATAAACCTGTCTTTGGAAAGACAGGCTTCCCTGTGTCGTTATTTCCTTGCTGCTGAGACTTTGAAGCTTGTACTGCAACAAGAATCTCTGCACTGGACTTAATTAATGCTCTGCAAAGAGAGCTGTTGCTGGTGGCGCAGCGGAAGCGTTTACTGGACCAGTACACAGACTCTCTTATGCTTAGCTGCTTTAAAAAATCATGGTCGAGTATGAAGGAATTAGCAGTATAAAAACATCTTCAGAGTTTCCCTATTAGTCTTTGTGCTCTAAAAACAATACATTTTATTTTGGCAGCTTAAAGACCAAAAAATGTATTGTGTTAATGAGAACCACACTACAGTCATACCTCGGGTTACAGCCGCTTCAGGTTGCGTTTTTTGGGTTACAGACCACCGAAACCCGGACGTACTGGAATGGGTTACTTCCGGGTTTCGGTGGTCGCGCATGCACAAAAGCACTAAATCGCGGTTTGCGCATGCACAGAAGTGCTGAATTGCAACCCGCGCGTGTGTAGATGCGGGTTGTGAACGCTGCGGGTTGCAAACGTGCATCCCGCACAGATCACTTTTGCAACTGTACACTTTAACAGGTACCTGCAGCATTCTATAGACATGATAGACTCCCCTGCTGAGCGCCTGAGGGCCCCAGTCCTGTCACTCACCACCTGGCCTAGGGCGGGGCCTGACAGGCTCCATAAAGGGCTGCTGCTGCTGGTCAGAGAGGGCTCCGTTTTGGGGCTTTTTGTTGGTTTTTAAAAACTGCTGTTATTTTTTACCTTTGTCATTTTAAACTGTGACATTAATGCTGTATTCTTAGTTTTAGATTTTGATTTATGTGGAAATTGTTTTCCATTTGGTTGTGTATTTTTCTGATGTGGTTTATTTATTGTTTAGGATTTTTGTAATTATGCAAATATTTTCATGTTGTAAGCCGCCTTGAGCATTGCTTTTAACTGTGGAAAGGCGGCATACAAATAAAATGATGGTGATGGTGATGATATTCAGGAGTGGGATTGTAGAGAGGTAGATCAGAGGGATAAGAAATGCAGGTAAGTGCATTGTTACAGTAACTCCCTCTAACATGAGCCAACGATGTGACGCGGCAGCTAAAAAAGCCAATGCAATTCTGGGCTGCATCAATAGGAGTATAGCATCTAGATCAAGGGAAGTAATAGTGCCACTGTATTCTGCTCTGGTCAGACCTCACCTGGAGTACTGTGTCCAGTTCTGGGCACCACAGTTCAAGAAGGACACTGACAAACTGGAACGTGTCCAGAGGAGGGCAACCAAAATGGTCAAAGGCCTGGAAACGATGCCTTATAAGGAACGGCTAAGGGAGCTGGGCATGTTTAGCCTGGAGAAGGAGGTTAAGGGGTGATATGATAGCCATGTTCAAATATATAAAAGGATGTCATAGAGAGGAGGGAGAAAGGTTGTTTTCTGCTGCTCCAGAGAAGCGGACACGGAGCAATGGATCCAAACTACAAGAAAGAAGATTCCACCTAAACATTAGGAAGAACTTCTGACAGTAAGAGCTGTTCGACATTGGAATTTACTGCCAAGGAGTGTGGTGGAGTCTCCTTCTTTGGAGGTCTTTAAGCAGAGGCTTGACAACCATATGTCAGGAGTGCTCTGATGGTGTTTCCTGCTTGGCAGGGGGTTGGACTCGATGGCCCTTGTGGTCTATTCTAATTCTATGAATTATATTAACTGGGAGAGGGTCTCCATGGCAACACTGCCTATGAATTGCCCATTGTGACTCTGCTTTTAAATAAGGCATTGACTTCACTGTCTACTTTATACTCCCACAGGTTGTGAATAAAATAAGAAACCAGTTTAAAGGCTCCTAAAAAGCCACCAGGTAAGTCCCTTCGGTTACTATTTTCTCTTCACAGGAACACAGAGATCTGCTGACTTGATATGTTCCCTCCAGTACATTGTACTGTAGACACTTGAGAGAGCTGAGATATTTCAGGCTATTGCTCTATGTTTATTTTTATGTTGATCATATCATATATCACATCATATTACTATACTCATGCTGTCTTTATATAGGTATGAGGCCACTGAAAGCTAAAAAAACAACAGCAAAACGAGCAAGAAAAGGATCAGGTCTGTATGCTCATTAGCTCATGGAGGAGGAAGGAACAGTAAAGGAAAGTTATGATGGGGAGGACCAGAGTGAGGACAAGCATTTTCTATATGTCATGGGCATCCACCAAGTCCAACTGAGGAGCAATGAACTTGAGCTTGTGTCCACCATCTGCTGCTGGCAGTGAAAGCCCCAGCTTGAAATGAAAGCTCTCCTTGATGGGCGCTCACCCTCACTACAACCCATCCACTGGTGCAGCCCCTTCCACTTATTTGATGGGGGGCAGCCAGATGAACTCCACAACCCCAATCTTCCCATGAGTATGCTGTGTCCTTGTGCCAGGCCAGGGTAACACATTGAGGATGTCCAATCCACTCTGCTAGTTGAGGACCAACTTCTCGACTTGAAGTCTCTCCTCAAGTCTACCTTTCACTATAAGAACATTAAGCTTAGTAGGTAGACTGGGGCACTTAATCTCAGGGTGATGGGTTTGAGCCCCACACTGGGAAGAGATTCATGCATTGCAGGGGGTTGGACTAGATGACCTTCGTGGTCCATTATGCCTCTACAAGTCTATGATTCTATGAGAACATAGCAAGAGCTTGCTGGGTCAGACCAAGGTCTTTCGAGTCCCAGGTGATGTCTCTTCATGCTCCTGAGGCCTCCAGACAGGGAACATGGGCAGAAAAGTGTCTTCAAGAAGCAATACTTCCATGTCAGATTCCTTCATCCACTTTACCTTCCAAGGGTCTGGCCCCCTGGCATTTCACAGTGGAGCAACCCCCCACCATGGGTTTAGGAAGCTGACTGCCATATGTTGATCTAGATGGGTTGCCAGAGTTTATGGGAAATTTCTTGATTGGGGTGGCACTGGGATATTGTCTGTTGATGGCTAAAGCAGAATTTTCTCTCTTCCTGTCCATCAAGGAAAACAAGCACCTTCCAAGCAACGTATGAAAAAGTTCTTCGAATCTTCATATTCCCTGTATGTTGGCACAGTGCTTCTGATGGGCTCCGTTATAGGGGCAGCAATGCTGACCTATCTGTGTAAGTTCCAGTCTTCTAGGAAAATATAAAAGGGTAATGGGCAGAATTACAATTCTCTCTTGCTTGCTTCATTTCAGTGGAGACCTTTAAAGGAATGGATGGTTCTGGTCTCCACTAAGCCCTTTCACCCCCTGATTTCAGTTGGTGAGATAAACATGTAAGACTTTTAACTGGTTTGTAGGGCAACATAAATTCCTGGGCCCACATTCGTAGCCTTCCATCCTATTTCCCATTCCTCTGCTCCTTTGTCCTTCGTTGGAAGAGAGGAAGAATTCTCATCTGGAATTCATAGCCACACTTTCTTTCAGGTCTCTGACTATAGCACAGTAAAGAAGTGGGAGATTTGGTAGCTTTATCTGTGCTGGGTTTGTCCCCTGAAAGTTCAGTCCCTCCCCCTGGGAGTTCTTCTGGAATGTGCCTTGCTCCTTTGTACTCAGGTGATTAACCCTCTCGTACCAACCCCTTCCTTGGATGAGCACACTGCAACCTCTACCATCTGTTGCGGCCTAGGGTCCTCACATCTGAGAAGAACCCAGAGCAGCTACACTACCTCACTGATGGAGCAGGTTGGGAGCTGGATTGTTGCTTTTGGGAGCATGTAGAAAACCTTCCTAATGTTCATGCAAATATGTGCATTCAGCTGTTCCTTTCTTGACAAATCTGGACTGTGAGAGTGGGGTAAACCTGACCCTGGTCAGCCAAGCTAAGCCCACCTGCCCCATAGCTGATCTCATATGACTTCACCTGTCGGGCAGGTAAAGTTGGGGCTGGAAGTGGCTTTGCAGGTACAGTATGATCCACCTTGGGCAGTTGGTTGAAATCCCACATATAATTGGTTTCCTTTTCTGGTCTGCGAGATGGCAGCAGCTCTCCTGCTAGTGAGAGAGACTCAGGCAAGGGGAAGAAGAGCTTCCCAAGGCTGGAATGCTTTCTTCAACTCCCGAGGGTATCAGGAGGCTGGAGTACCCACCTACGTCCTGGAGAATCCCTCTTCCAAGTGTCAGGTGGATGGGGGAGGGGACTCTGGGTCTCGATCTCCTTGTCAAGATGAGGAAGCCTTCATGTCCATCTGCTGCAAGGACCAGGCACCTTTGCAATTCGGAAAATTGGATTGAAAACTGAAGGAGTGCTCTGTACAAGATGTGACCAACCAACTGCAATTTTAATTCAACTATCAAATGGAAGGAACAAGGCTCCATTGGCAATTCCTGCCATAGTAGAAAATGGATAAAAGAAAGAGGTGTTATTTTGTTTTTACTAGTATATATGTCTCCAAGTAAGGTTTGTTAAAGGAGGTTTGTGAGGCTGGAAGTCTGTGAGCTAAAACTGGGTGTGTGAAGATTTGAGCTGCTTTGTGAACTGCATTGAGACTGCGAAGGAGGGGAGTTGAGAAGGGGAGTCGAGAAGAAGAACTCGCCTCCAATTGACTTGATGCAGTTTACAACTTGCACTGTGGAGTGAGGAGGCTATAAAGATTTACAACTTGCAGTGCTGAAGGAGGATTGGTTGTGGAGAGCAAGAGGAGCTCTCAGGAAAAACTGTAAATGGTTTAGTAGGGGAATCTCTCCTGGTTGGCAACATTGACTGTGGTTTGGAATGAATGGAGGGGAGGAAGAGACAGGATTTTGGAAATATGAGCTCCTCTTTTGTGAAACGGACTCCGATGGACAACCTTGAGATTCCTGGCAGCAGAACGTCTGAGACAAATTGCATAAGGACTGCTTACGGCAAGAATTAAAACATGGATTGCCACTGAATGGAAGGAGTTTAACAAAGACAGCCTCATTCTACAACTGTGTTACGCTTCAGATTCCCCTTTCATAAAGATGTTATCCCTGCGAAGACGAGCCCGTTCAAGAAGGAAGGGGCAGACAATGTTTCAAGTCGTTTTAATTGCAAGGGAGCTGCTCCCCCACCCCTGAGCATTGGAATTCTAAGGATTCCAGAAGGGTTTAAAACTCAAATTAACTATGTTGGATGCATTCGCCAAGTTTCTCAATTAAAGGGAATAAGTGGAGTTGTGTTATTGCAAAGGATTACGAGGGACTTCTGCATACCTACCCCTGACCTGTGGATAAGAATGTGCAAAGGAGCAGATGGATTATAACTGGGTATACAGTCGAGTGTGATAAACCATCTGTGTGGAATAAGGATGATATCTTTGTTAATTAAAGCACCCAGGCAGAGAGGGAGAAGCAGTCGTGAACATTAAGCTGTGGGTATGCAAAGAAAAAGGAGACTGAGTCTGGCGAGACAAAGGACAGAAGGTGGTAGTAATGGTTTTGGCAGCATAATGGGGTGGGGGGTGGGCTGGGCTGGTGGGGGAATGTATTATAACATGGTAAAGATTCACAAGTACAAGTTCCATTCTTGCCTCCGTATTCAGTATTGGATATGGGCAGTGCCATGGGGGACAAACAGATGCCAGCAGATTAAAGAAAAGAGACCCTGTCAAAGACTGTTTTTGCTTAAAGAGAGTTGCATAACAGAACTGGTGACTCTTGTGTGGTTGGTGTGGGAGAATAATGTTTTTCAACACCTAATTGGAGAGAGAGGAAGAAGCGGTTCTGAGTTTTATGTAGTTGCTATATTAAAAATTGGAGGTAGTTTGTAAGCAAAAATGAATCAGGCAATATGAAGGGTAGAAGCGATTTGTATAAAGGTATAAAGTTCATTCTCCCTCCAGCATTTGGCATGGACAGGGTTAATGGGGACTAGAGAATAGGTAAAACAGGGTTGCCATACATCCAGAATTTCCCCAACATAGCTGGGATTTGGCCATCGGAAACAGTGTCCAGGTAGAAATTGCTAAATTGTCCAGGAAAATCTGGGTGCACGAAGCTCTTGTCTGAAGTGTGGGTGTTGGTGTATTTCCTTAAAAATAGCTCAAAATCACATTTGTGTGTGTATGTGTATGTAGCCCAACAGCTTTGACCAATTATTATTTTTTTAAATCCACTTTTTGAAATATGGCAACCCTAGGATACGATCAAGGTTTGTTGGGGTTAGTGAACTGCATACCAAGGAGTGAATGATGGGAGCAGAATGCATTAAGCCAGGGAAAGTAGAGAGTGGAGGTCTGTTTTGTGAAAAAGAAACTAAAAAACAAGGTCGACCAGGAGATTTCCCCCAATGTTTGTGAGGATTGTAAAACTTAAATAGAATGCTAGGGCTAAAGCAGATCACATCATTATTATTATCAATTAAAATGTCATGAAGGCATAAAGGCATGATGAACAAGCTGTATTGATTGATAAAGGAAGAGCAATTCTATTTGATCAATTGGGGAAATAGTTCAATAAAAGTCTAAGCAGAATTTGAACATGCACAGCCAGTTGAAATAGAGAATGGATGGGAAAGTATTAGAATTTTAAATTTTTTTAAAGCACTTTACTGTGAGCAGCGAAGGAGCAAAGAAGCATCTCTAAAACGGGGCAGAAAGTCCTGTGTGTGTGTGTTTAATTTGAATTAATTTGTTGTTAACCTGTTAAAAAATTGGAAAATTTATAAAAATTAATTGGCAAAAAAATGAAAACACCCGGTTTTCCTGGCACAAAAAGAGCTTTTAAACTCTCAGAATTGCTTAAGGGGCTTCAGGATGCTCTCATAAGATCTCATGGGAATGCAGAGCTGGGCTGAAAGTGGCTTTGCTGGCACAGTACAATCACATCTTGGGCACAATTAACTAGCGCAGTTTCACTAGTGTGGTCAAGCACTTCCTGTTTGTCTGCCATGGCAATCGGCTGTGCCAATTACACCACAGCCCTTCTGTGCTGGTAATAGAGGATAATATGGGAGTAATTATCTTCCCACCTGGGACACCTGGCTTGAGAGCAGTACATGTGAAAAGGATCTAGGAGTCTTGGTTGACCACAAACTTGACATGAGCCAACAGTGTGACGCGGCAGCTAAAAAAGCCAATGCAATTCTGGGCTGCATCAATAGGAGTATAGCATCTAGATCAAGGGAAGTATTAGTGCCACTGTATTCTGCTCTGGTCAGACCTCACCTGGAGTACTGTGTCCAGTTCTGGGCACCACAGTTCAAGAAGGACACTGACAAACTGGAACGTGTCCAGAGGAGGGCAACCAAAATGGTCAAAGGCCTGGAAACGATGCCTTATGAGGAACGGCTAAGGGAGCTGGGCATGTTTAGCCTGGAGAAGAGGAGGTTAAGGGGTGATATGATAGCCATGTTCAAATATATAAAAGGATGTCACATAGAGGAGGGAGAAAGGTTGTTTTCTGCTGCTCCAGAGAAGCAGACACGGAGCAATGGATCCAAACTACAAGAAAGAAGATTCCACCTAAACATTAGGAAGAACTTCCTGACAGTAAGAGCTGTTCGACAGTGGAATTTGCTGCCAAGGAGTGTGGTGGAGTCTCCTTCTTTGGAGGTCTTTAAGCAGAGGCTTGACAGCCATATGTCAGGAGTGCTCTGATGGTGTTTCCTGCTTGGCAGGGGGTTGGACTCGATGGCCCTTGTGATCTATTCCAACTCTATGATTCTATGATTCAATCCCCCCAACCCCAGGTTGGGGGCACTCCACCCGCAGATTGTCCAATACCTGCTGCCTGTCCAGAAGGAAGAGGGGGCAAGGGGTGCTGGGTATACACAGCATGGTTGTGGCAACTCTCCAAAGACAGCACCAGGGGCAGAGGACACCTTTTTTTAATATAAAAATTCAGACTTAACTAACAGGCATGTCCTGAACCAGTGGAAATAAAATAATTTGCAAATTTAATCAGCTACTGAGAAGGATTTGATCTGGGGAAAGACTTCTCGTCGTCACCAAAACACAATGGCTTCAAGTATGTAAGTGGACACTATCTCAATTACGAAACGGACTGTATGATATTTTGACTATGATTCTGGCAATGATCATTAAGGGAAATATGAAAGGAATTCCTGATGGAGCGATCGTTTTAGTGTGGAGGCATTACCTCATCAACAGCTGGAAGGAGACCAAGAGGAGAGTTCTGGATATCTCCAGGGGATTAATGACGGACAATGACACAGTTAAAATACCGCCGTGAGCAGAAATGAAACTAAAGATCACTGAGGAGCAGAAACAACAGTACAAAG